CAGCCCCCTCCAGCCACCCTCCAGCCCCCCTCCAGGTTCCCTCCAGCCACCCTCCAGCCCCCCCTCCAGCCACCCTCCAGGCGCCCTCCAGCCACCCTCCAGCCCCCCTCCAGCCACCCACCAGCCACCCTCCAGCCTCCTTCCAGCCCCCCCCTCCAGCCCCTCCAGCCAGCCCCCCCTCCAGCCACCCTCCAGCCACCCACCAGCCACCCTCCAGCCCCCCTCCAGCCACCCTCCAGCCTCCCTCCACTCCACCCTCTAGCCCCCCCACCAGCCACCCTCCAGCCACCCTCCAGGCTCCCTCCAGCCTCCCTCCAGCCACCCTCCACCCCCAGCCAGCCCTCCTCCAGCCACCCTCCAGCCCTCCAGCCACCAGCCCCCCTCCAGCCCCCCCCTCCAGCCCCCCCTCCAGCCTCCCACCAGCCACCCTCCAGCCACCCTCCAGCCACCCTCCAGGGGACCCTCCAGCCACCCTCCAGCCACCCTCCAGCCACCCTCCAGCCACCCTCCAGCCCTCCCTCCAGCCTCCCCCTCCAGCCACCCTCCAGCCACCCCTCCAGCCCCTCCCAGCCACCCTCGGGACCCTCCAGCCACCCAGCCACCCTCCAGCCACCCAGGGGACCCCCTCCAGCCCCCTCCAGCCCTCCAGCCACCCAGCCACCCTCCAGCCACCCTCCAGCCACCCTCCAGCCACCCTCCAGCCTCCCTCCAGCCACCCTCCAGCCCCCTCCAGCCACCCTCCAGCCCCCCTCCAGCCCCCCTCCAGCCACCCCTCCAGCCACCCACCAGCCACCCTCCAGCCACCCTCCAGCCACCCTCCAGCCCCCCTCCAGCCACCCTCCAGACCCTCCAGCCACTCCAGCCCCCCTCCAGCCACCCTCCAGCCACCCTCCAGCCACCCAGGGGCCACCCTCCAGCCACCCTCCAGCCAGCCTCCCAGCCACCCTCCAGCCACCCTCCAGCCACCCAGGGGACCCTCCAGCCACCCAGGGGACCCTCCAGCCACCCAGGGGCCCCTCCAGCCACCCTAGGGGACCCTCCAGCCACCCAGGGGACCCTCCAGCCACCCAGGGGACCCTCCAGCCACCCAGGACCCTCCAGCCACCCAGGGGACCCTCCAGCCACCCAGGGGACCCTCCAGCCACCCAGGGGACCCTCCAGCCACCCAGGGACCCTCCAGCCACCCTCCCTCCAGGGGGACCCTCCAGCCACCCTCCAGACCCTCCAGCCACCCAGGGGACCCTCCAGCCACCCAGGGGACCCTCCAGCCACCCAGGGGACCCTCCAGCCACCCAGGGGACCCTCCAGCCACCCAGGGGACCCTCCAGCCACCCAGGGGACCCTCCAGCCACCCAGGGGACCCTCCAGCCACCCAGGGGACCCTCCAGCCACCCAGGAGGACCCTCCAGCCACCCAGGGGCCACCCTCCAGCCACCCAGGGGCCCTCCCTCCAGCCACCCAGGGGACCCTCCAGCCACCCAGGGGACCCTCCAGCCACCCAGGGGACCCTCCAGCCACCCAGGGGACCCTCCAGCCACCCAGGAGACCCTCCAGCCACCCAGGGGACCCTCCAGCCACCCAGGGGACCCTCCAGCCACCCAGGGGACCCTCCAGCCACCCAGGGGACCCTCCAGCCACCCAGGGGACCCTCCAGCCACCCAGGGACCCTCCAGCCACCCAGGGGACCCTCCAGCCACCAGGGGGACCCTCCAGCCACCCAAGTGACCCTCCAGCCACCCAGGGGACCCTCCAGCCACCCAGGGGACCCTCCAGCCACCCAGGGGACCCTCCAGCCACCCAGGGGACCCTCCAGCCACCCAGGGGACCCTCCAGCCACCCAGGGGACCCTCCAGCCACCCAGGGGACCCTCCAGCCACCCAGGGGACCCTCCAGCCACCCAGGGGACCCTCCAGCCACCCAGGGGACCCTCCAGCCACCCGGGGGACCCTCCAGCCACCCAGGGGACCCTCCAGCCACCCAGGGGACCCTCCAGCCACCCCGGGGACCCTCCAGCCACCCAGGGGACCCTCCAGCCACCCAGGGGACCCTCCAGCCACCCAGGGGACCCTCCAGCCACCCAGGGGACCCTCCAGCCACCCAGGGGACCCTCCAGCCACCCAGGGACCCTCCAGCCACCCAAGGACCCTCCAGCCACCCAGGGGACCCTCCAGCCACCCAGGGGACCCTCCAGCCACCCAAGGACCCTCCAGCCACCCAGGGGACCCTCCAGCCACCCAGGGGACCCTCCAGCCACCCAGGGGACCCTCCAGCCACCCAGGGGACCCTCCAGCCACCCAGGGGACCCTCCAGCCACCCAGGGGACCCTCCAGCCACCCAGCCACCCAGGGGACCCTCCAGCCACCCAGGGGACCCTCCAGCCACCCAAGGGGACCCTCCAGCCACCCAGGGGACCCTCCAGCCACCCAGGGGACCCTCCAGCCACCCCACCCAGGGGACCCTCCAGCCACCCAGGGGACCCTCCAGCCACCCAGGGGACCCTCCAGCCACCCAGGGGACCCTCCAGCCACCCAGGGGACCCTCCAGCCACCCAGGGACCCTCCAGCCACCCAAGGAACCCTCCAGCCACCCAGGGGACCCTCCAGCCACCCAGGGGACCCTCCAGCCACTCAGGGGACCCTCCAGCCACCCAGGGGACCCTCCAGCCACCCAGGGGACCCTCCAGCCTCCCCCAGGGACCCTCCAGCCACCCAGGGGACCCTCCAGCCACCCAGGGGACCCTCCAGCCACCCAGGGGACCCTCCAGCCACCCAGGGGACCCTCCAGCCACCCAGGGGACCCTCCAGCCACCCAGGGGACCCTCCAGCCACCCAGGGGACCCTCCAGCCACCCAGGGACCCTCCAGCCACCCAGGGGACCCTCCAGCCACCCAGGGGACCCTCCAGCCACCCAGGGGACCCTCCAGCCACCCAGGGGACCCTCCAGCCACCAAGGAACCCTCCAGCCACTCAGGGGACCCTCCAGCCACCCAGGGACCCTCCAGCCACCCAGGGGACCCTCCAGCCACCCAGGGGACCCTCCAGCCACCCACCCAGACCCTCCAGCCACCCAGGGGACCCTCCAGCCACCCAGGGACCCTCCAGCCACCCAGGGGACCCTCCAGCCACCCAGGGGACCCTCCAGCCACCCAGGGGACCCTCCAGCCACCCAGGGGACCCTCCAGCCACCCAGGGAACCCTCCAGCCACCCTCCCAGGGGACCCTCCAGCCACCCAAGGGACCCTCCAGCCACCCAAGGGACCCTCCAGCCACCCGGGGGCCCTCCAGCCACCCAGGGGACCCTCCAGCCACCCACCAGACCCTCCAGCCACCCTACCAGGACCCTCCAGCCACCCTGGGGACCTCCTCCAGCCACCCTCCAGCCACCCTCCAGCCACCCTACCAGGGGACCCTCCAGCCACCCTCCCAGTGACCCTCCAGCCACCCAGGGACCCTCCAGCCACCAGGGGACCCTCCAGCCACCCAGGGGACCCTCCAGACACCCAGGGGACCCTCCAGCCACCCTAGGGGACCCCTCCAGCCACCCAGGGGACCCTCCAGCCACCCAGGGGACCCTCCAGCCACCCAGGGGACCCTCCAGCCACCAGGGGACCCTACCAGCTACCCTCCAGCCACCCTACCAGGAACCCTCCAGCCACCCAGGGGACCCTCCAGCCACCCAGGGGCCACCCTCCAGCCACCCAGGGGACCCCTACCAGCCACCCTCCAGCCTCCCTCCAGCCACCCTACCAGGGGACCCTCCAGCCACCCTACCAGGCTCCCTCCAGCCACCCTCCAGGCTCCCTCCAGCCACCCTCCAGGGACCCTCCAGCCACCCAGGGGACCCTCCAACCACCCAAGGGACCCTCCAGCCACCCAGGGACCCACCAGCCACCCAGGGGACCCTCCAGCCACCCAGGGGACCCTCCAGCCACCCAAGGGACCCTCCAGGACCCTCCAGCCACCCTAGGACCCTCCAGCCACCCAAGGGAGCCACAGCCTCCCTCCCAGCCACCCTCCAGCCACCCTACCAGGCTCCCTCCAGCCACCCTCCAGCCACCCTCCAGCCACCCAGGGGCCACCCTCCAGCCACCCAAGGACCCGTCCAGCCACCCGGGACCCTCCAGCCACCCAGGGGACCCTCCAGCCACCCTCCCTCCAGGGACCCTCCAGCCACCCAAGTGACCCTCCAGCCACCCAGGAGCCACCCTCCAGCCACCAGGAGACCCTCCAGCCACTCCAGGGGACCCTCCAGCCACCCAGGGACCCTCCAGCCACCCTCCAGCCACTCTCCTCACACAGGGAGACAGCTGCACACCTCACACAGGGCGACAGCTGCACACACTCACACAGGGAGACAGCTGCACACCTCACACAGGGAGACAGCTGCACACCTCACACAGGGATACAGCTACAACCCCTCACACAGGGGAGACAGCTGCACACACTCACACAGGGAGACAGCTGCACCCCCTCCACACAGGGAGACCATCTGCACACCTCACACAGGGAGACAGCTGCACCCCTCACACAGGGATACAGCTACACACCTCACACAGGAGACAGCTGGCACCCCTCACACAGGGAGACAGCTGCACACCTCACACAGGGAGACAGCTGCACACCTCACACAGGGAGACAGCTGCACACCTCACACAGGGAGACAGCTGCAAACCTCACACCAGGGAGGACAGCTGCACACCTCACACAGGGAGACAGCTGCACACCTCACACAGGGAGACAGCTGCACACCTCACACAGGGAGACAGCTGCACACCTCACACAGGGAGACAGCTGCACACCTCACACAGGGAGACAGCTGCACACCTCACACAGGGAGACAGCTGCACACCTCACACAGGGAGACAGCTGCACACCTCACACAGGGAGACAGCTGCACACCTCACACAGGGAGACAGCTGCACACCTCCAGCAAGTATCAGTACACCTCCCCATGACCCACACGCCCCTACCCACACTGACCACCTTCCCTCCCGCCCACAGCCAGAAGCAGAAGAGGTGGGCGGAGCGCGGGCTGTGGGCGGCCTACGGCGTGTGGATGACCCTGGTGATGCTCTCCAGGACCTACATGGCCGCCCACTTCCCTCACCAGTGTGTGGTGGGCGCCGCCCTCGGTGAGCCCTCACGCCCACTCCTCATATTGTTGTACTCGTTTATAATTAATTTGATATTCAATGAAATATTGTATATGTTCTTTAATTCTCTGACGCGAGGTATACCCACAGTGAGGCAGGCAAGACCACAGTATACCCACAGTGGGGCAGGTAAGACCACAGTATACCCACAGTGGGGGAGGGAAGACCTCAGTATACCCACAGTGAGGCAGGTAAGACCACAGTATATCCACAGTGGGGGAGGTAAGACCACAGTATACCCACAGTGAGGGAGGTAAGACCACAGTATACCCACAGTGGGGGAGGTAAGACCACAGTATACCCACAGTGGGGGAGGTAAGACCTCGGTATACCCACAGTGGGGCAGGTAAGACCACAGTATACCCACAGTGGGGGAGGTAAGACCACAGTATACCCACAGTGGGGCACGTAAGACCTCAGTATACCCACAGTGAGGCAGGTAAGACCTCAATATACCCACAGTGGGGCAGGTAAGACCTCAGTATACCCACAGTGGGGCAGGTAAGTCCTCAGTATACCCACAGTGAGGGAGGTAAGACCACAGTATACCCACAGTGGGGGAGGTAAGACCACAGTATACCCACAGTGGGGCAGGTAAGACCTCAGTATACCCACAGTGGGGCAGGTAAGACCACAGTATACCCACAGTGGGGCAGGTAAGACCACAGTATACCCACAGTGAGGCAGGTAAGACCTCAGTATACCCACAGTGGGGCAGGTAAGACCACAGTATACCCACAGTGAGGCAGGTAAGACCTCAGTATACCCACAGTGGGGCAGGTAAGACCTCAGTATACCCACAGTGAGGCAGGTAAGACCTCAATATACCCACAGTGGGGCAGGTAAGACCTCAGTATACCCACAGTGGGGCAGGTAAGTCCTCAGTATACCCACAGTGAGGGAGGTAAGACCACAGTATACCCACAGTGGGAGCAGGTAAGACCTCAGTATACCCACAGTGGGACAGGTAAGACCTCAGTATACCCACAGTGGGGCAGGTAAGTCCTCAGTATACCCACAGTGAGGGAGGTAAGACCACAGTATACCCACAGTGGGAGCAGGTAAGACCTCAATATACCCACAGTGAGGGAGGCAAGACCACAGTATACCCACAGTGGGGGCAGGTAAGACCTCAGTATACCCACAGTGGGGTAGGTAAGACCTCAGTATACCCACAGTGAGGCTGGTAAGACCTCAGTATACCAACAGTGAGGGCAGGTAAGACCTCAGTATACCCACAGTGGGGCAGGTAAGACCTCAGTATACCCACAGTGAGGCTGGTAAGACCACAGTATACCCACAGTGGGGGCAGGTAAGACCACAGTATACCCACAGTGGGGCAGGTAAGACCGCAGCATACCCACTCTAATCCATGGTCACTCAGGGCCAGTCACTATGGTCACTCAGGGCCAGTCCCTATGGTCACTCAGGGCCAGTCTCTATGGTCACTCAGGGCCAGTCTCTATGGTCACTCAGGGCCAGTCTCTATGGTCACTCAGGGCCAGTCTCTATGGTCACTCAGGGCCAGTCTCTATGGTCACTCAGGGCCAGTCTCTATGGTCACTCAGGGCCAGTCTCTATGGTCACTCAGGGCCAGTCTCTATGGTCACTCAGGGCCAGTCTCTATGGTCACTCAGGGCCAGTCTCTATGGTCACTCAGGGCCAGTCTCTATGGTCACTCAGGGCCAGTCTCTATGGTCACTCAGGGCCAGTCTCTATGGTCACTCAGGGCCAGTCTCTATGGTCACTCAGGGCCAGTCACTATGGTCACTCAGGGCCAGTCACTATGGTCACTCAGGGCCAGTCACTATGGTCACTCAGGGCCAGTCTCTATGGTCACTCAGGGCCAGTCTCTATGGTCACTCAGGGCCAGTATCTATGGTCACTCAGGGCCAGTATCTATGGTCACTCAGGGCCAGTATCTATGGTCACTCAGGGCCAGTATCTATGGTCACTCAGGGCCAGTCTCTATGGTCACTCAGGGCCAGTCTCTATGGTCACTCAGGGCCAGTCTCTATGGTCACTCAGGGCCAGTCTCTATGGTCACTCAGGGCCAGTCTCTATGGTCACTCAGGGCCAGTCTCTATGGTCACTCAGGGCCAGTCTCTATGGTCACTCAGGGCCAGTCTCTATGGTCACTCAGGGCCAGTCTCTATGGTCACTCAGGGCCAGTCTCTATGGTCACTCAGGGCCAGTCTCTATGGTCACTCAGGGCCAGTCTCTATGGTCACTCAGGGCCAGTCTCTATGGTCACTCAGGGCCAGTCTCTATGGTCACTCAGGGCCAGTCTCTATGGTCACTCAGGGCCAGTCTCTATGGTCACTCAGGGCCAGTCTCTATGGTCACTCAGGGCCAGTCTCTATGGTCACTCAGGGCCAGTCTCTATGGTCACTCAGGGCCAGTCTCTATGGTCACTCAGGGCCAGTCACTATGGTCACTCAGGACCAGTCACTATGGTCACTCAGGACCAGTCACTATGGTCACTCAGGGCCAGTAACCATGGTCACTCAGGGCCAGTAACCATGGCAACAAATGGTCCGAGATTCACTCTTATATTTTATAATAAATCTTCCGCCTGGTTCGTCCCGGCTGTGATGGCTGGCGTCAGAACAATGTTGAATGTTTCATCACTTCGGGTAAATATTCGCCCTCTACGGCGTTGTGGAATTGTGAAAACTGTGCAAATTCGAGTCTGATTTAAATACAGTAGAATGAAATGCTGATATTTATGTATATTTAGTGTGGAGAGGCGAGTGTATACATGTGTATTCACCTAGTTGTGCCTGCGGGGGTTGAGCTCTGGCTCTTTGGTCCCGCCTCTCAACTGTCAATCAACTGGTGTACAGATTCCTGAGCCTACTGGGCTCTATCATATCTACATATAAAACTGTGAATGGAGTCAGCCTCCACCACATCACTGCCTAATGCATTCCATTTCTTAATTACTCTGACACTGAAAAAAAATCTTTATAACGCTCCTGTGGTTTACTTGGGTACTCACTTTCCACCTGTGTCCCCTTGTTCGCGTACCACCAGTGTTAAACAGTATCTTTATCTACCCTGTCAATTCCTCTGAGAATTTTGAAGGTAGTGATCATGTCTCCCCTTACTCTTTCTTCCAGTGTCGTAAGGTGCATTTCACGCAGCCTATCCTCGTAGCTCATGCCTCTTAGTTCTGGGACTAGTCTAGTGGCATACCTCTGAACTTCTTCCAGTTTCGTCTTGTGCTTGACTAGTTACGGGCTCCATGCTGGGGCCGCATACTCCAGGATTGGTCTTACATATGTGGTATATAAGGTTCTAAATGATTCCTTACACAGGTTCCTGAAGGCTGTTCTGATGTTAGCCAGCCTTGCGTATGACGCAGATGTAATTCTTTTTATGTGGGCTTCAGGAGACAGATTTGGTGTGATATCAAGTACAAGATCTTTCTCTCAATCCGTTTTATGAAATACTTCATCTCCCATTCGTTATCCTGTGTTTGGCCTCCTGTTTCCACGCCCAGTTTCATGACCTTGCATTTACTCGGGTTGAACTTTAGTAGCCATTTGTTGGTCAATTCATTCAGTCTGTCTAGGTCATCTTGTAGCCTCCTACTATCTTCCTCTGTTTTAATCCTCCTCACAATTTTTGCATCATCAGCAAACAATGTGTATAGTGAGGTGGGTGTATACATGTGTATTGTGAGGTAGGTGTATACATGCGTATGGTGAGGTGTGTGTATACATGTGTATGGTGAGGTGTGTGTATACATGTGTATGGTGAGGTAGGTGTATACATGCGTATGGTGAGGTAGGTGTATACATGTATACACCCACCTCACCATACACATGTGTATTGTGAGGTGAGTATATACACATATGTATTGTGAGGTAGGTGTATACATGTGTATGGCTCCCCCTCCCTCCCTTCTCACTAACCAATTTAACACTTCATATACTTCCCTCTCTCAACCCCTCCCTCCGTCCCTCCCAGTGTACCTATCCCTGCCCGCCCCCCTCCCACGCTACCCACCTGTGTGCTGGTGCTCCCACAGGTCTGGTGATCGCCATGAAGGTGTCGCGGACCCCCAGGCTGCAGGTCCTCACTCGTCCCCAGTACCTGGTGCTCACAGCCGCCATCGTCGTCTCCGTCCTCGGCACCTTCTTCGCCTACAGGTGAGGACCTCCGTCACTGTCCCTCGAGGCTACTCCCAGATCTCGACATTTTATGGCTGGGCTAAACGATGGAACAGTGGCAACTGTGTAAATTCAGTATTTCAGTTGCCATTTTCCTGACTATACTTGAGCGCTTTACAGTTACGTACAAGGCAAACTGTTTACACTTTTTAGTTTTTTAATATAAACGCTAAATACATATAACAAAAACAATCCAACACATCCGCACGTATCAAACTACACAGAGCAGGACAGTGTTAAACAAGTACAGACAGAACAACATGACAACAGCATAAACACTAAAGAAGCCAATAACAGCGCTGCAAGACAAAACCTTCCATCCAGGGAAAATAAAGCACCAATAACATTAACAACAAAAGAAACCATTATAAAACAATCACATCAATGAACACAAACACATAACGGTACCGTTATACAATACAATTTCTCAAATCACAAACATGAAAATACAGCAAAATTCACAAATCATAAATGAAGAACAGTTTCTACAGTAACAAGCGCAAACTAAAATACAAAACCGTATGTATAACATTAACATTCATAGGGAAAACTTTGCAGAACACCAGTAAAAACTTTGTTCACACTAACATTGTGAACAAAACACACTAACACGATCTACCTAAACAATAAGACATAAAAACAAAGTATTACTACAAAACACGTACATAAATAACCATCTGTAAAATAAGTGTCCATTACCATCTCCAAGCAACATCCTTAAGCCCCAGGCATTGTATCGCACCCGACCCTGCAACACCTACAGGCAGTCCACAGACTATCCCTCCTGCCACCCTATCCAGAGGCAAAGTATATAATCCGACAGTAACACCACTAATGTATTACGAACCTTCACACTGGAGGAGTGGAAACTGAACATCAACATACTCAAGCGGACAATAATGACATGAGCCCCACACAAAGCGGTAATCGTGCCTCTCAACCAGGCCACGAGAGCAGCTCTACGTTTACAAAAGTATAAAACATGTAGCGGAGTCTCAGGATCATCACAATAACCACACTTGTCACTACCCCAAATACCCAACACGTGGAGTCGAGCATCAGTAGAGAGGGACTCATGTAGGTACCTGTACTCCAGGGGCCAGATTCACGAAAGCACTTACGCAAGTACTTACGAACGTGTACATCTTTCCTCAATCTTTGACAGCTTTGGTTACATTTATTAAACAGTTTACAAGCATGAAAACTTCCCATTCAACTGTTATTGTTATAAACAGCCTCCTGGTGCTTCGGAGCTCATCAACTGTTTAATAATTGGAAACAAAGCCGCCAAAGATTGAGAAAAGATGTACAGGTTCGTAAGTGTTTTCGTGAATCTAGCCCCAGTGCACAGGATCCTTTACGTGGCAAATACCCCACAAAATATCAATCACACATGAGTAATCTGGAGGGATCACAAAGGCAACATCCCTGTATGCAGGCAGTTCCAGCAAATAACCTGTACACAGTTTACAGTAATAATACCCACAAAATGCTCACACCATCTCATTTCAACGGCTCCCGCATAGATGTTACACCCATAATAGCCAACGACTTATAAAACATTCTGGATGCCCACCCGTCCTCCGCTCCTGGTACTTAAACAACGTCGATTGCCTGATAGGCTAGTACCTGCCACACCACATATATCTAAAAATCATCTGATGCATTTCCATTGCCACCCTGCTACTCAGCGGCACAGAGTGCAATGAGCCACAAACCATTCTTACGGTTGCACCTTACCATTCCAGCCCGTCCTCCAAACAAAGACCCAAAAGTGATTCCATGCACCCGCCAAACCCCCTGTTTATGAATGAAAACAGTTTACACACGACTCACAACTGCTGATGTTCGAACATATCCGGAACAAGTGCTTCACTGACGAATTTTGTTCAAACCACAATGCTGTAAATGCAGCCCATCCTCCAAACAAATATCCAAAAGTGATTCCATGCACCCGCCAAACCCCCTGTTTATGAATGAAAAGCGGTTTACACACGACTCAACTGCTGATGTTCGAACATATCCGGAACAAGTGCTTCACTGACGAATTTTGTTCGAATCACAACGCTATAAATGCTTCACCCACGTACTACAAATAATCGCCAACAGAACCTAAACACCTAACCTAACCTATGCCTATATATATGCACAATATGCTAATATAATATAATATTAATTTATATTTGAGAAAAGTCCCGTTTTGAATGAACAGCATGTAAAAACTTATGAATGCGTCTGTGGGGTCGACCACTGGATGTAATGGACTTGATTCAAGGACGGGTTGTACAAATCACCACAACCGCCTTTTGGTACAGGGTCAACCATCTCGCCGACAAGAGGGAAGTCACTGCATGACCACCACACAACACACTCCTAGTTTCTTCTCACTGTCAACTCATAGGATTGACACCATGTCAACCCAAGTATCTTAATACACTCAATCACTTGAACCCAAGCACCATCCTAGGTGGACTTAGCAGCCCAACGACCAAGCCCCATCATACACGTCTTCTCACGATAGACCACGGCACCTGATGCCTTTTCAAATATCACCAACACATCCTGGACAGCCAACACAGCAGCCTCATCTGGTACAAATACCGTAGTGTCATCATCATTCCCAATGACCGGGAGAAACAACGAATTCGGCAAGGACGGCGAAACTATCAAAGCACTCCTCTTCACCGCTATATACCAACCCGTCCTCTTAAAAAGAACGTCACTTTTGGCTGGTATGCGCGATATGGCTAAATTTGGACGTAATTTGAAATGAAATCGACTCACAAAAGTGACGTTCTGTTCCGTTTTCTATTTGAGTCGTCCGCCTTACGCGCAGAGGTTATAAGAGGACACTTTAAATTCACGTTTTTCATAACGTTTTGAAACTTTATGAGAATTTCCTGCCCACCTAACCTATCAGAGAACCCTTAACTTACTGTTGTTGAAAAAAGAAATCCCAAATTTATTTTAATTTTTTTTTCATTTTCAAATTACGTCCAAATTCGGCCATACGGGCAAACGGCCAAAAGTGACGTTCTTTTTAAGAGGACAGGTTGATATACAGGGATTCATGAAATAACACATACAGCACCATTGAGAGTGGGCAACCCTGCCGACCCGATCTCTCAATCGCAAAGGGAGCACTCAGTAAGCCGTCGACACAAACACTACTCCTACACTCACGATACAGCATCCTCACCCAGGAAATAACACGCTCGGCCACACTCACCCGACACAGAATCTGGTAAACAAACTCTAGATCAACTCTATGAAAGGCCTTAGACCAATTCAAATTTATCATTGAAGTTTGAATATTATTCGCAGTTACGTGAAACACTGCGTTGAATAATGATATTATTATAACTCTCACATGAACGACCAGGCACACCACAAATCTGTTCCGGCGATACAATCCGACCCTAAACAAGCCTCAGACGGTTCGCCAACATTTTCCCTCTGTTGGCGATATTATTATCGCCAATTCGATTTTATTTTACAATCTTGATTTAACAAGGAAAGTCTCTCCAGTTGCTCAAATCTTGCAAATCCCACGATTTCGGAAGGAGCCGAACAATACCGTAAGATTGGGACCTACTGATCACCTTATTTCGGAAACAATATCTCACCACCTGCACAGTCACATTCAAACACCTCCCACATGCTGACATAAAACTTAGCCGGTAAGCCATCACTCCCAGGCGACCTACCTTTCGCCAGACCACGCACCACATCCCACACCTCTGTGTCTGAAACCTCTGCCAGCAGAGGGAAATTATTCTCCAAGGACAACTCCATTGTCGAACAGTTGGCAAGAAGCTCACCCTATCGACCAGCGTCATCGCTCCCCCCCCCACTTTCCAATAGAGCCCCTCCAACCTACTCCGCACACAGCTACCCACAGTGGGGCAGGTAATCCTCAGTATACCCACAGTGAGGGAACTAAGACCACAGTATACCCACAGTGGGAGCAGGTAAGACCTCAGTATACCCACAGTGGGACAGGTAAGACCTCAGTATACCCACAGTGGGGCAGGTAAGTCCTCAGTATACCCACAGTGAGGGAGGTAAGACCACAGTATACCCACAGTGGGAGCAGGTAAGACCTCAATATACCCACAGTGAGTGAGGTAAGACCACAGTATACCCACAGTGGGGGCAGGTAAGACCTCAGTATACCCACAGTGGGGCAGGTAAGACCTCAGTATACCCGCAGTGAGGCTGGTAAGACCTCAGTATACCAACAGTGAGGGCAGGTAAGACCTCAGTATACCCACAGTGGGGCAGGTAAGACCTCAGTATACCCACAGTGAGGCTGGTAAGACCACAGTATACCCACAGTGGGGGGAGGTAAGACCACAGTATACCCACAGTGGGGGCAGGTAAGACCACAGTATACCCACAGTGGGGCAGGTAAGACCGCAGCATACCCACTCTAATCCATGTCACTCAGGGCCAGTCACTATGGTCACTCAGGGCCAGTCTCTATGGTCACTCAGGGCCAGTCTCTATGGTCACTCAGGGCCAGTCTCTATGGTCACTCAGGGCCAGTCTCTATGGTCACTCAGGGCCAGTCTCTATGGTCACTCAGGGCCAGTCTCTATGGTCACTCAGGGCCAGTCTCTATGGTCACTCAGGGCCAGTCTCTATGGTCACTCAGGGCCAGTCTCTATGGTCACTCAGGGCCAGTCTCTATGGTCACTCAGGGCCAGTCTCTATGGTCACTCAGGGCCAGTCTCTATGGTCACTCAGGGCCAGTCTCTATGGTCACTCAGGGCCAGTCTCTATGGTCACTCAGGGCCAGTCTCTATGGTCACTCAGGGCCGTCTCTATGGTCACTCAGGGCCAGTCTCTATGGTCACTCAGGGCCAGTCTCTATGGTCACTCAGGGCCAGTCTCTATGGTCACTCAGGGCCAGTCTCTATGGTCACTCAGGGCCAGTCTCTATGGTCACTCAGGGCCAGTCTCTATGGTCACTCAGGGCCAGTCTCTATGGTCACTCAGGGCCAGTC